TAGAAGATAGGAGAGTTTTCTTATGTAAAAGTTATACACACATGGTATTTGACATAAGATTATTTCTTGCATTTGGAATTTAATCATCATGATCATATGCTGTGAATAAAAGACACTTGAAAAAGAAAAAACTGTTATTGTGTACAAACATGGGTGGTATTTCAGTAAATAACTGGGTTGGTGTTTCTACAAACAATTGTAATCACGAAAACAGCTGAGTTGATTACAACAAATTATCATCCAATATTATCATTATTATTAATTAAAAAAAGAAAATGAAGAGGCAAATTTTGAGCCAGAATTTCCATAAACATGACAACAAAGAACAGACTGAATTGAGTAAATTCTGTTTACATCAATTAAGCAGCGCTTGAAAATGAGTTTCAGACAAGTTTAATTGCCATCGTTAATAGAGCATTAAAAACAGCGCTTACGAATAAGTTTCTTTTACTACGATTAAACACTACTTAAAAAGAACGTTTCAGTCAAGTTTAAGTTCTATTAAATGTAACTTAAACGAATGTGTTGGTTTAAACACATTTAATGTCACCTTAAACCGACATTAAGGTTTAACCTTAAGGTGGTATAAGCTATGTTCAAGTGAAAATTAAACCTAGGTTTAAGTGTCTTAAACATCAACTTAAATCGACTAAACTTGAGTTTAAGACATGTTTAATCCATGTTTAAGAAGACTTAAATAGTTTCTTTTGTCCTTGTGTTAATTTTAGACAAAATAATGTCACCCACCATCACAGTAACCGCTAGCGCATGAGTCTGCACCTTCTTGCTCCCAAAACTAACTGGGCAAAACAGAAAATTACATATCAAGCAGCTTTCGATTTTAACCTTCTAAGTCCTGAAATACAGGAAACTAAACCTATTTTGGTGTTATCAGAAATTACTTTTCAAAAAGAAATTGGAAGGTATGCTTTAATTGTATTATATTTTGATTTTATTATATGTTAATTTGTTAGTTACTTATTAGGTTGTAACATTCTTTACAGGGCCGTTCTGGAAACCACTTTATGTATGACCGCCCCCTTTATAAATATCATTATCATTATCATTATCATTAATTGCTCTGCTGATATAGCTTTGGATGCGTAATCATCTCATAGCTCGAAAATTCTTAGTTTGAGAGCGACGGTACGTTTGCCTTTGAATTCGTTGTAGCTTACAAACAGAGACCAGTCTTACTTGTATTGTGAATAGTTTGGCTTCACTGTGGAGGTGCTGAATCAGGATGTGGAACGGAATATGCACTCTTCCCACGCCGCAGCTGTTAAGGCCGTTATGCCAGCCCTCTAAATCATTATTTGTGCGGACGGTTTGTCCTTAGACTTCCAGAAAAGTCCTTCGTCTTGTTTATTCCGTACCTGCCAGACGAGTAACTTTTCCTATTCGCTTGGAGCCAGACGATTCAAACTCTTCAGGGCTAAAAGCCGTTGATGATTTTACAAAAGAGAGAAAGAAAGATTTTACCCAATCTTTCTTTCTTTCCCTCGGTCGGGGGGGGGGTGGAAGAGAGATTGGGTAGAGTGAAACGAACATTTTCAAACGGCACTAACAACCTATTAACACCCATGTCATCTTACAAAGGCCGATGACATTTTACTCCTCTGGTAATTTGTAAGTACATTTCAGAACTTTTCCGGAAAGCATTGTGGATGTTGGCTAACTGTCATATACGAACTGATCCAGGACACTGGCGAATTGACTTCATACGTTGGCGAATTGGTCGTTGGCGAACCAGTGATACATTGGCGAAACGACCGGTTACCACCTCGACAGGTATATTAAAGAAGGAAATATAGAAAATGGAACACATTCAGGCACCAGCTAGTCCCTAATTTGCGTTAGTAAAACTTCAGGCGAACTACCTTTTGGTCGGGGCGAATCGACCTTTTTGGGGGGGGAGGGGGAAGGTCGAGACCGGACTTTGAGTCGGGACGAAACCACTTTGAGTTGAAACGGTTCTGGGCGAAACGGACCTGGGAAACGACCGCAATTCAAACCAACACAAAATTAGGTTTGCGTTCTACTATTTTGTACCGCACGTCTCAACACGCTCTCAATTTCGGGACGGGTATGATTAATTAACAAATTTCCTTTCTAGAGCCAAAGCTCAGAAGGAAATTCCAGGGTTGTTTTTCAGCGCTTTAAATTACTTTTGAGTCTGAATTCTGTTATTTTCAGCGTGTGAGTTTTAGAACCGCCGCACTCGTTTGAACTGAGTGATCGGTCATGCGGAGTGAAGAATGTTAATGACGAATGTGAACCCTTTTACTACAGACTTACCTTTGGCCACAGGTATAACAGACCTCACGAGTTTCATTCTTGGGCTGCCAGATCCACTTGAAGCCCGCGTTATAACTTTGCAGCGGTAGATTTTGAGATGAGTCCGCTGGTCGTAATTGCGTTTTGCGTTCCATCACGTGAGAGCGAAGCTTTTCGATCTGTGGTTACGTGGCCGCAGGTTTTGTCCATTTGTTATAAATTTCGACAGTACGTGTGGCGAATATGCTATAAAGGTCATCGTCGGAAACAGACCGATATACTGGTAAGTTTTGTTTTTCCTATTTTATTGGAAACGTTAATAGTTAGCAGTTTCTTCTCATCGTTACATACACTCAAYAGAAGATTACATACCTGGTTTCAGTTTGCACCAATCMCGATTGTATGAGAGTGGAATTTTTTTCAGTATCTTCAAGACGATTTTGAGGTTTTTTCGCGTGACGGTTTGGTGTAACACACTAGATACAGCGGTACTGATTGTTGGCGCTTTCCACCAACCTAGCGGAGAACTTTGACAGTTGCCTCAGGTTAGTTTTTATTTTTTTGTTTAGTTTATTTGTTTCATTGATGAAATATTATGATGATTATTTAACAACGGACCTATGAGTATTAAACGGTTAACTCAAAGGTCATGGCACTCTATTTACGGTATTAAATTCTTGACAGGAAAACGTCAAGGGGTAGATTGTTCACTATATACTGTCATATTTAAATGTGTCGAACTTCACCGTAAGTTAAATTGATCAACAGATTCTCGAGCTGTCATTTGCGAATATTTCGATCAAGTGTTCTGTTTTGTCAGACATTTTCTTGACCACAAATTTCCCGCTCTTTATTTGATGTTGTGTCGGCCGGTCGCGTCCTCAAAAAGCGCGGGAATTTTGCCGCGCGTGTTTCAATTTTCCGGCTCAATGATTACGACTTGTTTGGTTTCTTGCGGAATGCCAAAACAAAGGTAGTGCATTTAATTGTCGGGTTTTGCTTTGTTTTGCTATTAATAAATGTTATTTTCAAGGCAATTGGCTTCAGCTGCTAGCTAAATATATTCGTTTTTCTATGTTTGAAGAAGCACAGTTGTTCGTCGATCAAAACCGAGAGTTGTTGTCTGGCCAGAAGCAGATGAGGAGGAAAAAAGGTAGCTTGCTTTCGCCAATTCAGTTTTTCCTGATTTGGTTTTATCATTTAAAAAGGAAACACTTAAGGAATTTTTCGTCTTAAAAAATCAATACATTTCAGAAGCCCAGAAGAAAAAAGACAACAAGAGGAAGAAGAATTGAGAAGAAGGGAAGAGTTAAAGGAAAGACTGGAAAGAGAAAGGCTAAAGAAATTAACCAAAAAAAAGAAAATAAATTTGTGAAATTAAACTTGTCAAATGACAATAAATTTGTAAACAACTGATCCATACAGCTGTAACTGTGGCTTATTGTGTTTTGCAAGCCTTTCCCAAAATAATCGGCCCCTTACAAGCCATTGGACCATTCATAACACAAAGCAATTACAAATTGGTTTTGGTTTTATCCCTGATTCATTGAGAAAGTGGTGCAAGTTTTTTTATGCTAATCATTATAGCTTGACACACTTAGTGTAGCTACCCAACAAACTTTTTTCACAAGTTAGTTAGCTCTGTATCGTGCCGCAAACACCACAACTTTGTTTACAAATGAGATCAACAGTTTCGTGGTGATGTTTTGAACATTGAAAGGAGGCTGTGTTACCGGTCAAAGAAATTCTCGCTCTCTGGTTGGCTATTAAACTTGTTAAAAAAGATTGTTTGGTGGCTACATTAAGGTATGTCGCACTGTAAGCAAAGGAATGAAGAACTTAACTAAATGCAAATTACTTTCCACACTCAAGGGAACATTACTTCACCAGGAATTGTGCAACTTGTTAAGATTATTTGTGCAATATTGATTAAAATTAAAAGTGCAATTTTATTCCCTGATAAAGATGTGCTATAAAGTCTTCAATGAAATCGTTTCCGTATTTAGCAGTGTTTTGCACCATGATACAGCTGCCCCTCAGGTGTTAATAAGACGGCAACATGGAACTATTCATATGCTTATTTCAGCTAACACTTTCATTTAATTGTCTGTTTGTTGAGATCTCTTATTTAATGCCTTATATTAAATACAATTTTAAAATAGCGGTAGCAACTGCAGTAAACAAGGACACTAGCTTCATAGAGCTTCATAGATGTACATGTAATGTAAAAATCCTACAATTAGGTTAAATAATACTGTGGTATTCTGTGGT